AAGGGGGGGGGGAAGGGGAGCAATCCTAATTGCTCCCCCGCTCCGCTTTCTACATTCCCCTGCAAAAGATGACTGTAGTTTTCTCACCCTTCTCTTTCACATACAGGTTTCAGATACATTTACTGATCTTCACAACAACAAATCATATATTATTAGGACCCCTCATCTCTTCATAAATGAATGTGATTTGTAACTGAACTTCAAAAAAAATCAGTCTAAATATACAAGTTGCGGTTTGCTTTTTTTTTGTTTGTTGTTTTTGTGAATTACCTTGGTAATTACTATTATTACTTTAAAATGAAACCGTCTACCCTCAGATAAAGTTATGGCTCTGCATGCTTCCAGACACTGAGAGGAATACTCCAGAAATCAGGTGAATGAAAGCAGTCGTTATCTGTAAGATCAGGTTAAGCTACTGTGAATTCAAAAAAGTATCTTAAATCACCTTCCCCTCAACCACACAAAGTATCTTGCTCTGTTAAGCACAGCACTTGATCTTTGTCTCTCTGATAACACTGGGGCACCATTTAGAACCAGGATCTCGGCATGACACACAAAGCTATATAGACCTTGATCTGTTTAAAGGCATCTCTCTGTGGACATTGCCTCTTGGCCTAAATCCCAGTAAGAACAGTGGAAGGTGGCAGCTGTTACAGAAACAGGTAGTTCATTTTCTGGAATTCTCTGCAAAAGAATATCCTCTCTCTCTCTCTCTCTCTCTCTCTCTGTAGACCTCCAGTTAAGGCAAAATAATCAAATGTAGGTGCTCTTTAACGGGGAAGTTTGAAGACTCTCACTATTCAATTAAAAATATTAGCAATAGTCTCAAGTACTCAATTTCTGGAAGAACAATCTCAACATTCACTTCTGGTTCTAAGTAAATTTCTTACATTTAGATACACAGTGCCATATTAATTCTGTATCAAATAAGAGCAACAATTTTGAAGAAAATCTACCATTTCTCTGTATGATTTAATCTTTGATTCAAATGTAAAACTTAGTTTAATTTACTCAGTTTAATTTTGAAAGTGGAAAAACACCACATATACCTAAGCCTTCACTCAACAAGCCATTTGCCTTGTTGGTTCACGAGTACCCAAGAGGGACCTCTTTCCCGTGCAAATTTTTTAATACTGTTCTCTGTGAAATTTGGAAGCACAGTCAACAGGGATTACAAATTGCTTTGTTAATGAAAATAATTAAATATTTTACCCAGGCTGACAATGGACTCAAGCGTTGTTATGGATTGTTGTGCAGGAAACTAAGGGAACTGTAAGTCTCTAGAGGAGTCTTGTTATCTTTTAAGTGTTGACCTCAGTTTCCTAATACATACCCTCTGAGCCCTTGTAAGCTCTACTGTGAAAGGATGTGACTTTTATAATTAAACAGAGCACTGAACAGCTATGTCAAGGACCAATTCGTCACTGCGCACAGACGGTGCTATTAAAAATAGGCACTGAAAACAGGCATTCAATATTGATACTTTACTAATACACTGTGTGATCAGCACTGCTGAACACTTGGCAGGAAGGCTTGAGGCTACAGAAAGACTAAAAAAAGATTAAATCCTAGTGAAGGATGGTTTAAAGTATTGGAAAGTGGGGTTAAAGTGTTTTACAGATAATCTAAAGTCTTCCCCGGCCTTGCAGATTACTGTGAAGGTTGGAAGTATAAGATTTTATTAACGCTAAATTATGTTTGATGCACTTGTATGGAATAAATCTATTCATTAGCAAAACATACAAATTGTATGATCAAGCATGTAATCACCAAATGGAACAGAAAAGTGAAATATAAGACAGGTTTAAAATTAGCTGCATGTTCTGGTCTTTTATTCTCTACAGTGAATGATGCAATGAACTTTTCTCACTGAAGTATATTTTGGTCAAGAAAAATCAGCATTCTTACATTATGAAACAGACCAAAAGGAACAAATACTCATCTAGAACACCAATTAACCTTCCACTCTAAAAAATGCTGTACATAGTATTCGGGATGGCACTAACATAAAAAGGTGAGTTTTACTTTTCAACTCTATCCTGTTAGCTTCTTCAGTAGACAGAATATTTGGCAAATGTTTTGCTGTAACTTCTAATATTACTTCTCTGATCTATCAGTTTATCCTCTTTATACTTGGGTAAAATTTCAGTCAGACTTCACAACAGTTAGACCCTCTTCAAGATCATCAAAATGTTCAACAGGTAGGCCTTAGAGACAAGCTTACTGTTCAGTGGTTTCTGGGCATCTGCATTCCCTTCTCCTTCAAATCCTGAGGGCTGGTCTTCTACCTTAACAGTCTTTTTCGACCTTGTCCTGTCATCTTCATCTTCACTATCTGCTGTGTAAAGACTTCGATCTGTAAATGGGCGTCTCTCATCTCTGTCTCACAAGAAAAAAAAAGTCACGTTATTCTTACAAACCTGAAGCAATCATTTTCCTTTTTTACAACACCCTCTCAAGATACAACAGTAACATTCTCTTATGCTCATCTTTTCATTCCGAACTGTATGTATTCCCATTTTACTCCCTGTACAACTGTCATTTCCATAAAGATACAAAGTTTTGAAGCATTCCCTTCAGTACAAACCCAACTGAGCAACTGAATGAAATGCTGTAGCAAAGGAACATGCAAAGAATCTCCTCCTCTTCACTCCATAACCGTGGCTCCACTAGGGGACAGCAGACACAACAGACAACACATTCCTTCTATATTCCTAACATGAATCTTACTGGTAAAAGGGAATTTACAGCTCCACAAACAGAAAAGGAATGTTATTAATAATTAGCATGCTCCGGACCATAATGACTAGGAACAAGCGATCCACAATCAACACTTTGTACCTAATTATTCTTCCATTTGACAGTAGAAGGCGAAGGTCATTGTCTTTTGTTCGCCATTCAGGTACTGTAGAAGATGGCTGAAAGGGCTTGTTAAATCTCCCGTTCAATTTTGAACTTGCGGTATCCTAAAGAAGTAAAAGCAATGTTGCTTATTATTTATTTCTGTAAATTCAACTGTTTTTTCTGCACTCCACAAAAGCTTAAACTCAGCACCAGGATGGTTACCTTCCTGATAACCAACTGAAGAAAGCTCAGACAAAACACGTTTGGATGTAAAAAACAGCAGACTGCATCTTCTTCCTTGAATCACCTATACTCTCCTGAAGAATCTGAAACAACTACAACTTCACCGTAACACTCCTTTTATGTTTCCTTTGGAGAATTATCACTGTATTCAAAACAAAGAAATACCGATAGAGACAGGCAAGCCAAAAGCTGGGCTTGGAACTGATAAGGCAACTCCTGGACTGGGTATCTGGTCCCTGGAATTAGTATCCCAGAACTGATTGATAGGACAGCAAAACATCAATAATGGAAAGCAACCTGCCATAAGCAGAACCTCCTTAACTCAAAGCAATTTACATTTGACATATACTCTGAAGCAATCGGCGATACACTTATGTGCCAAACCAGGAACATGTAAAACAGTATTTTTTTTTTTTTTTACAAGTCAATACTGATAGTGAACAATGCATTTCTACATTAAATGACAACGACTAATACTCCTAAACAGTTGTTTGTAGCAATGAACTCCACAGGTTAAATATTTGTGGTAAATTTTAAGTTCAGCTTCCTGTCTTTGGGAGCTAAATGAATGTCTCTTGTTCATGCCTTATGAAGATCAATATAAGGACCCAAACCAGTATTTCTCCACTATGACAGTCCATCCTGTCCCAACTAAATTTGTCAGCATTTCTTATTCTCAGAAAGCTACTTATTTCCTTTCATAAAGCTACTTATTTCCATTTTCTCACTCCTCCCATTTCTGTTGCTGTTTTTTGAAATAAGGTCATCAAACCTGAAAAAAAGGATTTTTCAAGAGACAACATTTTGCTCATTCTCTCCATGATACCTTTATAATACAACCACAAAGTCCACAGCCCCATAACGGAGACCAAAGGCAGCCCTAGGCTTACTGGTAGGGAGGCACAGTCATACAGAAAATAGGAACATGACCAAAAAGCAAGGCTAATCAAATTACAGTAACTGAACTATAAGAAACAGCTATCTAAAAACACATAGAGAAGCAGTCTGGCTCAGAGCCTCACCAAATCAAGGCTTTGCAAGCTCCCTTTTCTTCACAGAACTGATTCAAAGTAGCACTTGATAGCTACAGCAGTCCTAACTCAAAAACTATACTTGAAGCAGGTAGCCGATTCAGGGCACTTTCTGAACCAGAAGGTTGAAGGAACCTCCAACAAAAAAATTATCAAGGAAGAGAGAAATTCCTATCAGGAAAACTCAAAAGAAAGAAACCAAAAACAAATCTACCCATGTCTTATATGACAAAGAGTAGCAGCCTCTTTGTATTCTTACGCATGTTAAAAGCTTTTCCCTTTCAAGAGAGATTAGAAATCTACTCTGGTTTTGTTTTTCTTGCACATAACTTAATACTTGCCTCCTCCCACGGTGACATCTCCAGCCTTTTCAGTACCTCCCTGGTGTGGAGTTCCAGGATGTCCAGATTAGAAGGAGTTTTGGTAGCATGGTCTCGCAGTTTCCTCACCCTTCGTCTGGAGTGGTGAGGGGAAGTTGTTTCATGCGAAGACCGTGAAGTTGTACACACACCAAGAATTCCCTGAGTTTTAACTAGTTTGCTGTTTTCCTCCTTTAATTAAAAACACATATTTCAGAATAGTCTCAGAGGAATAAATCCACATATTTAAGTGCTGCTTCTTATTCATCTAATTAAATGTAAATTACATAAATAAAATTGTTAGACCTTTTAGAGAAATACTACATATTTCCTATGGATCTGATGTACAAAGCTTAGTTCTACTGCACCTCTTTCCCATTTGGTGCTTTTAAACTCTCCCCATAATAGCAGTGCTTAACACCAAAAGTTACCACCAAAACATAAGGTTTTATTCATGAAGGCAGCATAGCGCAGACATGTATTGTACCCAACAGATCACATTTCTCTTCAGTTCTCAAAACTGTTCTCTCCGCATGCAAATGTCAGAATTTTTCAAGAATCGATATTCATTAAGGAATAAAAGAGCAAAACACTGGTATAGAAGGGGAAAAAAGAAAGAAAAAAAACCACTGACTATATAACAAATAGGGACAAAACATAAGAAAAAGAGCAAAAAGGACGACAACTGGACCAGAACTAACAAACAAGAGGGTAGGAGAATGGAATATGCACAGAAATTCAAATTAAAATCTTTAACAACATATTCACAGTAATTATTATAAGTAGTTATAAGTGAGAACATTTTAGAAATAGTGACCTACAAATAATTTCACCATTAAAAATCTTTAAAAAAAAATAAATACATAAAACACCATTGCTATACATTTTCTTTATCTGAAATACCCATAGCTTAGTATTCCCAACAGTTTTCCTCTTGATCTTCTGTTATGAAATGAATGTTAAATAAATTAAAAGGTGAATATGATCAATCAGAAGCATAACTACTATGGAATTCCTGATTCAAAGATTTTTTTTTTCTGCAGGCTTATGTAGCATTGCCTCTGTTCTTACCTCTACAGAACGAATCACTTTTGAGAGCTCTTTTATGAGATGCCCAGGCCTAATGTTGTCTGGAATTTCAAAGGCATGTTCTGTTACAAGCTGTACGCGAAGGGGGAAGAAAAGATACTTAATGCATTTTCTCAGATAAAAGAGGAAGTAGTACGAAATAAACAAATCTACAGGGAAAAAAAATTAAAAGGAAAAAGCCAGATTAATTTCTTTAATAATGACTGCAAACTGCCAGGACAGCTACACACACGCTCTGAAGCTTTCATTCCAAGCTTTAGAAAGCAGCAGATATCACTCAATGTCTGATGCGCAGGGTACATAAGGGAGCCTCGAGTTTGGCCATCCCACTGCTTCTCTTAGAATCTCTACAAATCCTAAGAAGGGGTAATAAAAAGCCATACTGACAACCACTTTTTTCTCCCCCCCCCTCAGTACAGTAGTCAGCTTCTTTTTTTCCCTTTAGCATGGTCAGTACAGAGCCACACTTAAGAAACTCGTTAGAGTAATGACCTTCAAAACAGCTAAAGACTAAGGGAGTTTCGCTGTGGCAAAAATTTAATCTAAAGAGCAAATCAAGAACAATAATGAGTAACCAACATGCAGATTTTTTTAGCCATCTGCCTCACATTTGACTTTTAAAGATTATCTTCTTAGCTTATTTAAAATCTGTTAGGTTGGAGAAAGCAATTTAAAAAAATCATTTGCTATAAAAAAAAATAGGACGCCATAACAGTTTATATTCCCTTTAATCCTCTGAAACAGTATCAGAGACAGGTTTTCTATTTATTTATTACCAATCTGAGTAAGTCCAAACACTCTACAGTTAGATCTAGTAAAAAATATGTTTAATATTTTGTTATGTACAGTTTAAATTTGCCCCAAGACACTTTTAGTTAAAATTAAACAGACAAAACAGCACTTCACACATAGAGCAGAATGACTGACAGGAATTCTGCTAGCCTCTTAATCGACTATTTAAATGGAAAAATATCCGACAAACACTTTCAGCTACCCACATTTCAAAAATGAGATTCAGCAGCAAAATTATTGCTAGGAGCAATTTGATGTTGTATGTGCATTTCATTGAACCTGGCTTCCTCTCAGTCATTAAAACGAATGCTTCTCCCCCCCCCTCCCAACAAAAACCCAACCATGGATGTGTAACCATGGTATAACAATTCTTTTCAGTGCCATTAATTCTACAGGAAAGATTAAATTGGCTGCTATTATTTACCATTGTTCATTCTTTGAACACATCACCTCTACGCATTCACACTTGGGAACACGGCACCTCTGTCACTGAACTGTATAATTTTTCCAGCAAGTTACCGGTCATCTTAGGACCATTCGTCCTTTCTACCTAAGAACTTCACTCTCCCAAAACCCTTCCTGTCCATGAAGACCTTCAAGAGGAAGTGACTGATGCAATCCTCCAAAACACTGACTTCAAAGCTTCTCTGGTTTAAAAATACTGAAAAGCCTTCCTAATGCAAACATAGTTTATATCAGAAGTACGTTATTTTGCCAGTATGATTTATAGTAAATCTTTGAGCAAAGTTAAGTTCCACTGGCAAGCTCACTTGTTTGCCACTACAAAAGGTACCTATTTAAGCCAAAGCTTTCTCAATTAAGCTGTGGCAGAGTAAGAGAAAATATCCGTCCAAGCAACTTAAATATGCAAACAAATTTAAATGGGTATGTAACCTAACAGTCTGACAGAAGGAAAGGATGGGCAGAAAATACGAATACCTACAGATGCCACGTCTGAAAAATTATTATCGTTATTTAATAACTTGTTTTTAAGTTGTCTCTGCATACTGCCTCTTGGAGAAGGAACAAGCAGCCTTTGGGACTGAGGAATTATCTTGTACTGGGGAGAACAGTAGCAACAAAATGGCCTAAGTATGTCAGACGTAAATTGCAGGTAAAGAAAATAATGAAAAAAAACTATGATTCATTCAAGAGCTTCAAGAAATCGTTTTGTAAATGTCGGAAATATACAGAGGAAAGAAACTTGTCTTAAATCAAGACATAGAGAAAAAAAAAAGTCCTGGCTGGCAAATGAATCCACCCATATTTGGAAACTAGCATCACAATGAAGTATATCAATACTTAAAAGACACACACAAAAAAATAAAATAAAAATAATAAACCCCACATCTCTCCCTCCTTACAAAAAAACCTGATCTTTTTTTCTTTTACAACAGCTTTTTTTTTTTTTTTTTTTTAAACACACAGGACAGTTGCCCAAAATAATCTTACTGGTACATGAATCAAACATCTGAAAAACTGAATCTGAGACCTGTTGCTCATGCAAGCTGGAAGGAAGCCAGAGCTCAGACGACTGGATAGGTCATCATTTTTATTGTGTGTATCAACTAGCCTGCAGACTGATGATCTGCACCGAAGTAATCAGAGGATACACATACTGATAAAAGCCTTGCACAAACTGAATTCAAATCAAGATATGAAAAACAAAATAATTTTAGTAGCACTCAATCTCTATTCTCAGCATCTCGTAATTTTTGGCAGTTTTTAAATATTGCAGAAATGAAGATACTGCTACCCTGCTAAAGGTGAGTTTGAAATTCTCTGAAAGCAATTCACTAAGGTAATTCACATAAGTCTTGAAAAGACATACTCCATGATACAAATGTGAAACCTCATGAGTAGGCTTCTCATTTGTGGAGTATTCATTTGTCATTTCTTTTTCAGAATCTGTCTGAAATCCCCAGCATGAGCAGATCATATAGCAAAGTACAAAGCTCCTCCTGTCTTCAGCTGCATACAACTACAATCCTATCACACACATGGCCTGCTGCAAAGAAAAGATCAGCTCACTTACGAAACAGTAGCTAGAAAAGAAGGATGCAAGGTACAAAACATGATAGCTGGTGGACAGCAGACAACATTGTGACTAGATCACTGATCCTGTGCAGTTTCCTCACGACTGAAGTGTCTGTTCAGCCAATGCTTTGGGAATACTCGCGGGTCTCATTAATAAGCATTCAGAATGCAGCACATGCAATTAATTTTTTTCCACAGAAAAGCAGGAAACATATTGCATTCTAGATGAAGTATTAATCAAACTTCTTAATGAGCTACTAGACAGTACACAAATGCTACAGTACTATGCTACAGCAATCCAGAAAAGAGGAATTCCAATCCAATTTTAAATTAAAATAAGGATTTATACAGGCTATGTTTGATCACAGTTATCAGCAGTCTGATTACTTGGCTTGCTTATTATCCATGCCACGGATGCAGAGATAACTTGGATTCACACATGGTTTAACAGCTTAGGCACAACATCCTGTAAATACTGCTACACTGCTTACTAGCTAGCTTTGATCCAGATTGGCATAGACAAAGAAACACTAGAGAACCAACTCAGGTGTTACAGAGGGCCAGCAAAGGTCCACCTGAAATCAGTAATGCTACACAGGCTGGAACCCAGCCGATTCCACACAAAGTAACCACCTCTGCATTTGCACCTCGTGTTCAGTTCCACAAAGCTCATTATGTCGGATGCAGCATTGTGCAAGTATCATACCTGTTGTATAGTAAGTTCTCTTACGAGGAGAACTTGCAGGCAGGAAGACTAAACAGATCTCCAAGAGCCAGTTCAGGTCAGCATGGACGGCAACAAACTAGAATTAATAAGCTCAGTCAGAACCAAACTGCCTGTCAGTGAACAGCACTTCCCAGAAGCACAGGTTCCAAGAGGGCTTAGTAGCTCAGGCACATGAAAAAACACATGGAGTTAGGCCAGATCCAGTGCTGTGCCAAAACAAATAAGCTTTCCTGGAGAGCAGAGCACCAGCAAAGCCAGCATAGACAACACATTAAT